AGAGAGCAACTGGAATGTATCAAGATCTGTCTAGGGGCAGATGAGGAGCGAGGTGAGAGCTTGTGGGTGACAATTAAGGGGCAGGCTGGCACGGGTGATGAAGTGGGTGTGTGGTATAGAGGCCACTTGATCAGGATGAAGTTGATGAGGCCTTTTACAGGCAGCTGACAGCAGCCTCTCAATCACAGGCCCTGGTTCTCATGGGGGATTTCAACTACCTAGCTATTTGCTGGAAGGCCTACACAGCCAGCCACCCACAGCCCAGGAGGTTCCTCCAGTGCGTCGATGAGAACTTCTTGGTGCAAATGGTGGATGAGCCAATTAGGAGAGGAGCGCTGCTGGATCGTAACTAACAAGGAGGGTCTGATGGCAGCAGTGAAGGTTGAGGGCAGCCTTGGCTGCAGTGACCGTGAGACAGTGAAGTTCAGGAACTTGTGCAGAAGGAACAGAATACCAAGCAGGATCACAGCCCGAGACATCAGCAGAGCTACCTTTGGCCTTTTCAAGCAATTACTAGGGGAAATCCCATGGGACAGGGTACTGGAAGGTAAAGGGGCCCAAGATAGTTGGTTAATATTCAAGGGCCACTTCTTCCAAGCTCAAGATCCCAACAGGTAGAAAAATCAAGAAAGAGATCCAGGAGACCTGCGTGGTTAACAAGGGAACTGCTGGGCAAACTCAGGTGGAAGAAGAGTCTATAGATCGCGGAAGGAGGGGCTGGCCACTTGGGTTTAGTATAGGACTGCGGTCAGAGGATGTAGGGAGGCAACTAGGAAAGCAGCTACGGCCTCCTTGGAATTAAAGCTTGTGAGGGAGGTCAGGGACAACAGAAAGGGCTTCTTCAAATACATTGCCAAAAAAACTAACACTAGAGGCAATGTAGGCCCTCTGGTGTAGGAGGTGGGTGCCCTGGAGACAGAGGATCCAGAGAAGGCATAGTTGCTGAATGCCTTCTTTGCCTCTGTCTGTACTGCTGGAGATTGTCCTCAGAGGCCCCAGAGGAAGTCAGGATAAAGGAGGACTTTGCCTTGGTTGATGAGGACTGGGGTAGGGATCAGTCAGGCAATCTGGACACCCACAAATCCATGGGCCCTGATGGGATGCACCCACGGGTGCTGAGAGAGCTGGCAGAAGTCATTGCTAGGCCACTCTCCATCACCTTTGGTAAGTTGAGGGCAAGAGATGAGGTGCCTGAGGACTGGACAAATGTCACTCCAGTCCTCACAAAGGGCAGGAAGGAAGACCGTGCCTGAGGACTGGAGGAAAGTGAATGTCACTTCAGAGCTGTGGTCAATGGGACAGAGCCTAGTTGGAGGGCTGTATCTAGTAGAGCCCCTCAGAGGTCGGTATTGGGACCACTACTATTGAATATATTTGTCAACGACCTGGATGAGGGAATAGAGCGCACCATTATAAGAGGGTCATTAGGAGCAGTCAGCATGTTGTTTCCAAGGCAAAGTCGTGTTTGACCAACCTGATAGCCGTGTATGAAGACATAACCAGGTGGATAGATGATGGCCGTGCAGCGCACGTGGTTTATCTGGATTTCAGTAAAGCATTTGACACTGTCTCCCCCAGCATCCTTGTAGCTAAATGGAGGAGGTGTGGTCTGGATGATGAGGTAGAGAGGTGGGTTTTGATCTTATTGAAGGAAAGAAGTCAGAGAGTTGTGGTAAATGGGACAGAGTCTAGTTGGAGGCCTGTATCTAGTGGAGTCCCTCCAAGATCAGTACTGGAATGAGTACTGTTGAATTTGTTTGTCAGTGACTTGGATGAGGGAACAGAGAGCATTGTGAGCAAGTTTGCTGATGACACAAAACTGGGAGGAGTGGCTGACACACCAGAAGGCTGTGCTGCCATTCAGCCAGACCTAGACAGGCTAGAGGGCTGGGTCGGGAGAAATCTTATGATATACAAAAAGGGCAAGTGTAGAGTCTAGCATCTGGGAAAGAACAACCCCATGTGCTAGTATAGATTGGGGACTGACCTGTTGGAGAGCAGCGTAGGGGAAAGGGACCTGGAGGTCCTGGTGGACAGCAGGATGACCATGAGCCAGCAATGTGCCCTCGTGGCCAAGAAGGCCAATGGCATCCTGGGGTGTATTAGAAGGGATGTGGTCAGTAGTTTGAGAGAGGTCCTCCTCCCTCTCTGCTCTGCCCTGGGGAGGCCACATCTGGAATATTGTGTCCAATTCTGGTCCCCTCAGCTCAAGAAGAACAGGGAACTGCTTGAGAGAGTCCAGTGCAGAGACACAAATGTGATGAAGGGAGTGAAACGCCCCCTGACATTCTGTGATTCTGTGTAACCCATGGAGAGGGGAGCCCACGGTTCAGGTTTGCTGGCAGGAGTTGTGACCAGCAGCATCCAGTGCTATAGGCTAATGGTCTGACTCTATGATCGTACAGAGTGTGACCTCATTAGTATTTATAAATATGTAAAGGGAGGACAGAGCTGGGCTCTTCTCATTGATGCTCAGTGATAGCACAAGGGGCAATGGGCATTTTCCAATCTAAATGATTCCATGATTCTATTCTATGATTCTGTAGTAGCACAGGCACAATCAGGAGTCTGAGAGAAGTGATGATCAGCACTTTGTTGACCACAACTATATAAGATACTGAGCCCTCTAGTTTGGGCTTCCCAGACCAGGACACTGCGAAACTGGAGCAAGCCTAGCAGAGGTCCACTGTGACCTACTGTAGGTGCTCCTGCTTTGGCAAGGAAGTTGGACTAGATGACCTTTCGAGGTCTGTTCCAACCCCTGACATTCTGTGATTCTGTGCTTGTGATTATTTAATGGAAGATCCTGAAGGAAATACCAAGTTTCTCTGGAAAACTGGTTGGTTCTTAGAGCTATGCCGTGGTGACTGGCTAAGGCTGGAGAGAAAAGGGCTACTACACTTTGGAGATTTTTCTTTTGGGACAGTTACTGCAGAGAAACAAAGCTGAGCAGCTGGAGAACCTGAACCAAAAAGAGAAGTGTAAGGTCAACAAATCAACATTTTTCTTTTCTGGCTCCATTGTCCCACGTAAGGGTCCACAAGCTGCTTTCTTGCCTCAGTACAAGAAGTCAAATGCTTTGCAGTTCACCACACAATTTTAATGCTTCATTTTAGTTGTAGTAGAGTTACAAAGATAAGACTCTGTGTTTGGCAGTGCCATGATTGAAAAGTAG